GACTCATGTCACGCCTAGTACTAGCACCATGCGCTACTTGTTTTACACGACAACAGCCGTGGACGGAAAGGCTCTTTGACAAGCCTACCCAAAGATATACTTACCTACTCTCAACGAACTCATTTGATCGAATTGACAAAACGGGTCAGGCCGGCCGACTCCTCCGTGGATCAGGACAAGACCCGATGGCCACTGGCAGCGTTATCTTCTTTCTACACCATGCGATATAGACCGAATCGTTCGTACAGATAGACAACGTAACTCGATATCAACCAATGGGTGCGTTTTAACCGGCTTCGATAACCATTCGAAGTCCAACAGGTCTCCAATCTACCCTGCCAGTGGTGCTGTCGGTGTAACCACATCGCGTGGTTGCATCTCACCCGGAAAGTTCCAACTGATAAGCAGGGCTCTAAAGTGACCAACAACAGTTCCCACACTCAATCGCCTGTACAGTCTTGGCGGGGTGTGTGCGTGCACACACACACAGACACACCGCATTTGACAAATCTGGCTATTTGACATCGCTTTACACGATTCAACTCGATCGTTTAATATTGAAATCTGGCCAAAACTGGTATAAAAAGTCGATATTTTAATGCTCTACATTGTACAGTTGTCTATTTTAATATTTACATTGTCTTTTAAACCGTTGTCAATATAGTACGCTACCCTAATACCCATTAAAAGGTATTAATAATAATAATGTTAGTAAATAACGAATATTCTAACGACGTCGCTAAGATTATTAGTATAAGCGTAAAGAGTATATAGAAATATAAATATACTCTATCAGATATTAGTAAAGTATTTCTACTAATGCGAACTCCCTAAAATACTAGAAAGCTTCCTATATAGGCGCTTGAGGTATAGCGTATACTATATTACTCCCTATACTTTATTAATTATAATTAATATTATAAAAGAAATTATAAACCTCTTTATATTGAAACCCGATTTATACTTCGACGAAATTTATATCTTTCTAATTAATGAGTATAACGTATACGTTTCAACCGAAATTGTATAGCGGCACCTTCGATAGAAAAAGTAGAAGAAGAAGTAAATCTATATAAAGGTATTATAATAATCCCCTATATTAATAGCTAAGTAGATATTAAAGATTTCTTTATTTATTATAAAGATATTTATATTCTATAACGAGTTTAGTACAAATTAAAGGGATAGTGTTTATTATATTAGTTAGGTACTTTATAGTACTATTATAATAATATTAAATAAGTTTATTCGTAGTATATGGTATTATCTCCTTCTAATTATTATAGTAAATAGACTATTTAATATATTAGTATTTAGAGGTATAATAAATTTAGCTAGGGTTTAGGACTAAATAGTAAAATACCTACTCTCTAAAATAAATTTATTTCCTAGTTGTAATAATATTTTAGTAATAAATAATACTAATTAATACCCTCGTACCGAATTCCAGCACGTATATAATTAGAAGGGGGTTCTATTATAATATTTACTACTCTACTCTCCCGAATTCAACTCTATCGAAGTATACTTTAGTAACTTTAAATAGTAATTTAAAAAGATATATCGTAACGAAAGTAATAATAAAATATTAAACAACGACTTTATTACGTTCCTTAAGCAATTAACGTAGGATGTAGGGTATAGAATATAATAGATCCGTAGCTATTTTAAGAATGTAAAGCTAATAATAAATTAATTTAATAATATTAATAAAGAGTATAGGGAGTTATATACTAATGAACTAATCGAATATAAAGAGACGGGTACTATATTTAGGCGGCGGTAGAGAGTATAGAAGGAAGAGATGGATTTATATATATTAAATTGAATTATATACTAGAAATACTAAAAATACTAGAAATACTAGAAGTACTAAAAGTGCTAGAAATTATATTTATTTATATAATAATACTAAAATATTAGAAACCCCCCTCTTTCGCTATAAATTAATTTGTAATATCGTTATCCCTTACTAGGACTATTAATAATAATATTGCCCGCTATAAAAACGAGAGTTCTAACAACGCTATACTCGAATATAGTATTAAACCAGAGGTCTAAAATATACGCTAATTGATTAAATTATAGTAATAGGGGTTAGAAAGTATATTTACTATAATTTAATTATATTACTAGTACCGTATATTTAATTTTAAGGAAATCTTTAATACTGTCTTTAAATACCGTATAGAAGTTATAGTTAAATTCTAGCCTTATAAACTACTTTGCCGGCTATTCTCTAAGCGTAAATATATTAAGCGGCGCCTCTTTATTCTAAAACTTATTCCTCAAAACGATTAGAATTCTATATATTAATATTATTTTAATTAACGTTCCAATATAGTAACGCTTATAGAACGCTTTAAAGAATTTAGTAATAATTTCTTTAATTAGCTAATTAAATAAGGCGGAGGGTAATAATAATGAATGAAGATTAAGAGTCGAAAGTATAAATAAATATAATATAAATAACTCTCTAGCCTCTACTAGAAATTCTCTAATCCCTTTACTCTCGTCCTCCTCGTCTACTACTAATAGTAGTACAATTAATAGCGGTACGGATAGCTAAATAAAAATTATAATCGCTATAGAAATAGGAGAAGGATTAATATTAGCACGCTTAATAGTAAGAGTCTCGCGGTCGGTCGGGTGCCTATAGAATATAGTAGTAAAATAATTTGAAGGCGTATACGAATTAATAATTACTACTTTACCCAGTAGGAGGAAAGTACCTATTATATTATAATTATAACTACCTACAATTACTAAATTAGTTATAGAGCCGCCGGCGGTATAAAGAGGAGGTAATTGAATTTAGGGAAATTAAAAGTAAGGAGGGAAATATTAGTAGGGTAACGGGTATAACGGGTATAAGGGAAAAGGGTATAGTTAGTATAAACCTCTAAAATTATCTCTCCTTAGCGTAACTTATAATAGACTATTTATAATCTCTATATTAGTACTACTATTACTACTATTAATATTATTAATAATATTAATATTAACCGGTAGATTATTACTTCCTCCTTTATATTTACTACTATTATTAGTACTAGAAGCGGTTACTACTTTATTACCTAGTATCTTTTGTAATAAATTACCGGGCGGGTTAATTACTATAGCCTTCCCTAACGAGATTGCACGTACCTATTTACCTATATCTTTAATATTAAAGTTATAGTAGGTTATACTCCTGTTAATAATATAATATATTTAATATTTAATAGCCTTATTATAATTCTTATACTTATAATTAAAATTGTACGCCTATACCTATACTAGTTCTTAGTATACAATACTATATAGTTTTACCTCTATACGCTCCTCTTGCTACTAGTCCTCCTCTAAATTCTTTTTAACTTCTATTAGTATAGTATTTATTATAATACACTTAGATTTTTTAGTACTAGTTAGAATCCGTAACCCTTATAATAATAGTATATTAGCCGTTTATAGGGTAATAAAGGGATTAACTAAATTATAAGATAGGGTAGGAATAGAGGGTATACTATTATGGGAGGATAGAGTAATAGGGATTCTACTAATAGGCGGGTCGGTTAACCGAAATTTGAATAATATAATAAAATAATAGTTTTAGCTAATATAATAGAAATATAATTTTATAATAATTTTATACTTAAAATTGCTATACCTATTAAAGAATTCTTTCCTAGGGATAGTCTTATTATAAATAATAACCTGGGCGTAGCGGTTATTATAGGCGGCGGTAATATAAGTAATATTATATTAAAAAATTAATTATTTTATCCCTACGGCTATATTATTATTAATAATATTTTATATATAACCTTACTATAAATATTTAATCTCTCTAAATAATATTATCCTAAACCGCTACTTGTAGAATTCGCTATTATTTTATTTAACTTTAACTTCTTTAAATAAATTATAATCTTTAATAGGAAGTAATTTATTATAGTTAGCAGTAATATATAAACCGACTATATTAAATTAGATTTATATTAATTTAAGGTATTTAGGATATAGTAGTAGTATTAGAATAGCCGGCTTACGGGTAACGCGGGGTTAGACTAGTAATATTAAAGTAGTTAATTTAATTGGGGAGGCTATCTCGCTATTATTATTATCTAATAAATAAAATAAAGTATTGAGAATCTACTTTTTAGGGGTAAAATAGATGGGGAGCTATTATTCGACTTCGTTATTGTTACTAGAGTCTTCTTCGCTACTAAAAATTTTAGTAGGTATTATAGGTTTAAAGGGGGATAACGGCGGCTCTAACTCTAATTCTAACTCTAGCGCCGGATCTTTAATAGGAGCTTTCCCCTTCTTAATAGTAGTCTTCTTAGGGGTAGTCTTAATAAAAGTAATCTTCTTCTTAGGCGGAGTAATTTTAAAAATAATTTTAATAAATTATTTGACTTTATAACTCTTCTTTCTAGGGCGGGAGGAGGCGTATTATAAAATTATTAGACTAGGATCTTCCTTATTTTAATCTTTATCGAAGTAGACTATTAGCGCGCCGCTTTAAGTATAGGAGCGTTTTACGCCGGCGGGTTTTAAATTAAAAATCGCTTTGGGAGGCATTATTGTAATAGATTTAATTAATTACTAGTATTTTAATTACTTTGTACATTGAAATAGCTTTAAAATAATCTAGAAATTGTTATTAAATAATAAATTTTGACGAAGTTGTACAATATAGAAGTGCGGTGTGTGTGTGTGTATGCACGCACGCACCTCTTGCCAAGACTGCACAGGCGATTGAGTGTGGGAAAGATAGATCGACTTATCCAACGACTACCGTAATGTAACGTCATTTGATGTTCTAATTCCCTATCTGGGTCAACCGGCACACTTTCGCCCACATATCACCCCTACGGTTTATCCTCTCCCACGGTAATGAACGGCCACCTCTCCTTCCACTTCTCGGTAAGGACAGCGACGAAGAAAACGGCCCTGACTTCCCATCCGATTCCACTCGAGAACATCAGGGTCGAGGTAACCAAAAGCCCACCATGGCTCAAGGCAACAACAACAAGGCACATGCCACCAGCAAGGATATCAAAGCACTTGTCCACCATGATACCGGCCTGGACGAAGCCATCCACTTCGAACGGTCCCTAACCTTTCTCCAAGCCTGCACCCTCTACCCCTCCGCCATCTTGTGGTCCGCCTTCGTCTCCATGGGCGTCATAATGCTCGCCTTCGACCCGCAGCTCCTGGGCAACTTGTACGCCATGCCGCAATTCCGCAAAGACTTTGGCTATCTCTATAAAAATGACTGCATCATCAGCGCGCCCTGGCAAACCGGCCTCTCAATGGGTAATCCCGTGGGTCAAGTCGTCGGCGCTTTGATTGCGGGATACCCGATGGAGCGGTTCGGGAGGAAGTGGACTTTTGGGACTTGTGTGGCGCTGACGGCTTGTCTTATTTTTATCCAGTTTTTCGCCCGCTCGCTGCAGGTGTTGCTGGTAGGTGAGCTTTTGGGGGGTCTGGTGCTGGGGTGTTATGCCGTTATTGCACCTGCTTACTCGTCCGAGGTGTGCCCGATGGCTCTTAGGGGGGTGTTGACGAGCTATGTGAACTTGTGCTTTGTTATTGGTCAGTTGTTGGGGAACGCAGTATGTGCTGGAACGAGCAAGTTGAGCAATCATTGGGCGTATTCAATTCCGTTTGCGCTGCAGTGGTTTTGGTGCTTGGTTATACTATTGGGGCTGGCGTGGGTGCCGGAAAGTCCGTGGTGGTTGGTACGGAGGGGGAAACTGGATGAGGCTGAGATGGTGCTGCGTAGGCTGGCATCGGACAAGGTTGATGTGGGAAAGACGTTGACAGTGATTGTGGAGACGGATCGGTTGGAGCAGGAGTTGGAGATGGGGAGTACTTATTGGGATTGCTTTAGGGGAGTGAATCTCCGGAGGACGGAAATTTCCATGGGTGTTTATTGTACCCAGGTCCTGAGTGGGATTTACCTGATCAATTATGGGACGTATTTCTTTCAGCTCGCTGGTTTGGACAACGACGAAGCATTTGACATGGGAATTGGATTTTTAGGTAAGGCACTTGGCTCGGTATCCCTCCACTGCTTCATGCTAAAAACCCATTTCTCTACAGCCGTCGGCTTCCTCGGCACTATCATTTCCTGGCCCCTGTTAATCCGCTACGGTCGCCGAAAGATCTACAACACCGGCCTCCTAGTCCTCGTCGTCCTTCAAATCATTATTGGCATTCTCGACTGCATTCCTGGCCGGCCCAGTGGCGTTATTTGGACCGAATCCTCACTGATGCTAGTATGGAACTTCTTCTACGATATATCTGTCGGCCCCGTCTGCTTCGTCATTATATCCGAAGCCAGCGCCACCAGGGTGCGATCCAAGAGTATTGCCCTGGCGACTGCCGCTCAAGGCGCTCTTGGCTGTGTGATGACGGTTGCAATTCCTTATATGATCAACCCTGATCAGGCGAACATGCAGGGGAAATTGGGTTTCTTCTTTGGGGGTCTTACTGCGATGTGCCTGGTTTGGTCGTTTCTGAGGGTTCCGGAGACGAGCGGGAGGACGTATGAAGAATTGGATATTCTATTTGAGAGGAAGGTTGGAGCAAGGCAGTTTGAAAAATACGTTATTGAGAGTGAAGGTGTCGACTGAGATGAGGATCTCTTCGGTACGTATTGTTAACCCAAGAGGTGCATATAGCAAGATTATGGGAATGATGATTTCTCTTATGCGCTGTTGACTATGTCTAGGAAATACCTGTGGCTTTGGCATTCCAAGGAACGTGTTCGTCCGATTTCTGCCCCGTGGGCCTCCCGTGTGCTAGACAAACTCCAAGTTGGAAATAATGTACGTGATCTATCATCCGCAATATCTCGCTAGTTTCTGGGCTTCACCTTGAAGAAGTACGAAGGCCTCGCCAACGAATGTGTTAGCCTAGAGCACAAGCCCATCATTTGGAAAAAAAGAAAAGAAAAGAAAAGAAAAGAAAAGAAAAAAAGTAAAAAAAAAAAAAAGAGGCACGAGAACTGACAACCTGTTCAAGTTGTTTAAGCTCTCTCTTTGCGACCGATTGAGCTCGTGACAGATACAGCTACGCTTTTGGCCCTCTTTCTCCTGCCACCTTGCTCCTCGCTCGTTTTGATATGAGTCATGGGATGCAGTCGTAGGGGTAAGCTTTTTGCTCTCTTCGCACCATCTCCTGGCGTATCTTGCACAGAACACAACACCCCCACACTCGTCTCCAGGCATTCATCTCCCGAAATATATTCCGAGAGACACAGAGACTCCTTCAAGATCTCCTCCCGGCGCTCATCTCTTCGCCTGTCCCCAGCCTGTATCCATATCTGCTCGTACTCTCTACGCCTCCTGGTCCAAACATCCTCATCATCCATCTGCTCCTCGTTCCTCTTGTTCACCAGCGCTCTGATCACACCCTCTTTCAAAACCATCCTCAAAACCTGACTCTCGATGGCCCTGTCACTCACCTCCAATGCCTCGTCACTTTCCACAAACCCGTGTGAGGCATAAAACTTCTTATCAGCGTCGTCGTTCTTGGCCATAACCACAACCGTCGGCTCCCGCTCCCGTCCCCAACCGCTGTCGCCTAATTCTGGACGCTGCGCCTCATGCAGTGAAATGACATCCAAGAAGTACCGGAGAATCAGATCCATCAGCCTATTACCCCCGTATTCCATATCCGCATGCAGCTCGGCGATCTCGTAGCACTAGGAACAGTCCCAAATGATGCGACCAAAGGCTACGGGGAAGGGTTCGAAGTCGATTTCTATCTCGGTAGGAGGCCAGGCTTGGGCGTGATGCACGTCGCGGCCTGTTTTTCTGTCCTTGCCTTTGCGGTCCGAAATCGAAACAGAAGAAGAGACTTCGAGGGACTCGAAGTTTGTTGGTGATGATGGTCTTGAATCGATGATGGTGTTTTCCGTTTCAATCTCGTGGGGAACACCGCCACTAGAGCAACTGCTGAGCTGATCAACTGGGGGGTCTGACTCATATTCACTCTCTGAATCCCAAGAAGCTTCAGAGGACGGTCTGCTGAGATCGAGAATGGCGCGGGAGGGCGTGAAAGTGATGGTACAACAGTATGCGAGCTCAAACTCGGTGGAAGGTTTGACGCCAAACCTCAACGTTCTTGGTGGCAGACCGGCGCGGATACGGAGGGTCCTGTATGCATGGGGGCGGGGCGTGTAGTCGATGCGAAGGTCATAAAAGCCTTCTGATGAGCCTGGGAGCTGTGCTTGGTATTTGCGTTGTAATCTATCGGTGTGGAACGCCACAGTGTCCCCTGGGCATTCCGCCTCCTCATATGTGCTGAGCATGGTGTTGATGGGTGACCGCTGGCTGAAGAATAATGGAATGTCAATGACGGATATAAAAGATGGGGATGAGTCAAACTGGGTTCTTCGACTCTGTTGACTAGCTGTTTTGTAATATGTGATGATGGCCTGGCTGGTTCAGCAAAGAAGAGTGGTTGACTAATATGGCCGGGGTTGATGCTGGGGGAAAGAAAGAGGTTTGAGGTCAAATGCCGAGGACACTCGCCACAATTATTTGAAGTAATGCCACGGCTTGCGTACTACGGCAGGTGTATGCAACTGGATGCACATTCTAAGCAAGGAAACGCAACACGAACGGCTTGCTTGTCAGGTTATGCAAGTGCAATGGAGATAGGTACCTCTAGGTACCTAAAGTAGGTAGGTAGCATCACCCACGGAGTTTGTCAGGCACGCCTTCAACGGATATACCGCTAGCAGCTGCATTACACAGGCTCTGCACAGGACGGGGCTACCTAGAGGTATAGCTACCTACCTCGGCGATGCTTACACCCCTCCTGTATTTAAGGAAGGTGAGGCAGCCCGCAAAAGCGTGGTGCATTCCGGGGTGGACAATTTCCTCGTTATCACTTGATTTCAATGTCCTACCCAGCCAGCCATACTAGGGTCCGTTGGTTCGTTGCAATTCCATCTACTTATTGGCCTACCTAATAGAGTAAATGATGAGTGGGCGGTTCGGTAACTTGCTAGATATGTGTGATGTATACTGCCCTGCCGTGTACCTAAGGTTGGTGTTTTCCCAATTCGGCCACCAGCCATTCTTTGAACTGCTCATGCCTACCTCTATGTATTGTGACTAGCCCCAGACGCTCAATTCCATCCTTGCCATAGTAAGCTGAAGCCATTGAGCTCACTAGAATCCTTCAAATAAAGAAAGCCTCCGGCTTCCGGAACTTCTCGCCTGCATACGACCACGGCTTCCAGCTCTCCTTCAACTCCGCCTCGATGTCTAGCAGCCGATTGTACTTGGCCACCCGCTCGCCCCGACACGGCGCTCCGGACTTGATATGACCTGTGCAGAGCCCGACAGATAAGTCGGCAATGAAATCGTCGGTCGTTTCGCCCGATCGATGCGACACAAAAACGCCCCACCCCAAGCTCTTGGCCAGTTTCGCCCTTTATACCAGAAATCAGTCAGCAAGACCATCACTTTACCAACCCAAAGGTAATCAAAGGGAAAAAAGTAGAGGTGCGAAAACTCACGCATCAATAGCCTCTGTCACCGTTCCAATCTGGTTGATCTTCAACAGCATCGCATTACACGCCACCCTGCTCTCGGCCATCCTGACTCTCTCCACATTCGTCACCAGCAAGTCATCCCCCACCAGCTCCTCGAAATAGAAGTCCTTGCAGAACTTGACCCACGACTCCCAATCGTCCTCGGCGAAGGGATCTTCGAGCAGTGGGATTGGATACTTTTCGATGAGGGACTTGTATAGCTCCATCATCTCAGCTGGGGTCCTGACATCGTCCGAATGTGATTCACCCTCCTTTATTCTCTTAAAACCGAGGTCATAAGTCCCGTTTTCTGGGTTGAAGAACTCGGACGATGCCGCGTCGATGCCGAACTTGATCTTATCGGTGTATCCAGCTTTGGCCACAGCCTCGGTGAGCAAGTCGAGGGCTTCTTCGGGTTGGGTAATGGGAGGGGCAAAACCGCCTTCGTCGCCTACGCCCGTGTCTATTTTGCAGCTTATCAATTCTCACGTCACAATATGATCCACTCTTTTGGTTCAGGACAGAACTTACAAATGGCCCCAAACTTATCAGAAATTATCTGCTTCAGAGCACAATACGTCTCAGACGCCATTTGAATCCCCTCCTCAATGGTCTTCGCGCCAGTCGGAGCAATCATAAGCTCCTGGAACGCCATGCCGTTTCCGGAGTGTCTGCCTCCGTTCAGAACGTTGAAGAAAGGGACGGGAACCATGTAAGGGGCTTCTTCGCCGCCCTCTCGACGAAGGAACTCGTATAGGGGGATGTTCTAGTTTTTTTTTAGGAGTTTCACTCTTGTCAACCAACCTAACCTGGGGGGTATGGAACAAAACGATGGGAAATCAAGGAGGGGAGATTACCGCAGCAGCAGCCCCAGCCCTAGCACAAGCCATACTCACTCCCAAAATCGCGTTCGCACCTAGCTTGGCTTTGTTCGGAGTCCCGTCCAGTTCACGCATGAAGCCGTCGATCTGCTTCAGGTCGCGACGGGAACTATAGCCCTCTTTGACCAGGGCCGGGCCAATGATCTCGTTGACGTTGTTGACTGCGGTAAGGACCCCCTTCCCTCCGTACTTGCGTTTGTCATGATCGCGGAGTTCGACGGCTTCGTGGGCCCCGGTTGAAGCACCGGACGGGACGAGGGCGCGGAAAGTTCCTAGCGATATATTAGTCAGGCCGCCCACCGTGTGAACAAAACTTGTCGGGGAGGGAATTGTGGGTTGGAAACGTACCATGGGCGGTCCTGACTTCTACTTGAATTGTTGGGTTGCCCCTAGAGTCAAGGCGTTGAGATGCTTTCACGTCCAGAAGCATGGCGGTCGGTTGTGCGTTGATGTTGTTTTGGTTAACAGTGATAACAGATGTTTGGGTGACGTTCGTCTCTTTTAGGTGGTGGACGAATCGCGGGCAGTACTTACAGTTCGTCATCGATGCAATATTCATGACGTGCGGTGATGCATGCCGTATGAGCGCAGCACGGGCACTAGGCACATCCCGTTGAGCGGGAGGGGACGTGCCTTTTACATTCCACATTCCAACGACACTCCGTCTCTCTGGTTGAAGATCTAAAGCTTTTGTCTCCTCAAACACCATACATGGACGGTTGAGTGACCAACTAGGCATAAACACATTCATCTCTTTTGCGACAGTAGACTCCATCGTTTTTGGCTCTACTCCTGCCGTCCGTACCTCCAACCGCCTCCGCCTCTTATACTCTTCACATCCATATCCCTCTTCTTATTCTCTACCAGTGTCCCATTCAAACCGCACCCCGGGCTGTCACATGTCGACAATGTGTGTATGAGCGCATTCCCCCCTCCCTCCTTCTTCTTCTTTTTCTTTCTCCTTTTTTTTTCTTTCATCACATCCCTTCAACAAATGACTATCTGGCACCGCTACCTCGAGCACCACCACCTCGGGCACCGACCTCGCCAGTGCCGGGAACCCCACGAAGTTCCACTACGGGCCCCCATCGTCTCATCCACCACATGCCTCCTATTCCTCACCCTCATGCCGCTAGGTGACCCCAAATCACAAGCCTGCTAGTGCGAGAGATTTGGACCCCCTTGAGCTTCCCTCTTTAAAAGCGCGCGCGCACAGGGCGTACCAAACGCCACGGAGACGTCGACATCCAGTAAGCCGATCAGGATAAGCGTCGCCCGCAGCTATGACCACAGCACTTGAGTATCGCTTTAGTTTCTCCAACATTGTTTTCTCCGAAATCGAAATCAGAAGAACATTAGGTAGGGATGAGATCCCAGTGTTTATATTAGTCCCAGTATGTGTAATCCGTGGCGTTGAGAAAGACCTGTCACCAGGTTTGATGGCGAGTGGTCTTTATCATAGTGGCTTTGGTATCGTTCTTGTCGTCGTGAACGAAGTGCCTATGGCAGTTCGGTACACATTACGATTCTGGTGGCCTTCTTGCCGGATCTGCTACAGTAAACTTACTCAGACTACATTGGTTACACATGACTATCTGCTGGAGTCGCATGCCTCCTGTGTCGGTTTTGTAGCCGATTGGTCATATTACTTTGTGCCCGTTATGACTTCTGTGCTCAGCAGCTATTCATCGCATCCTCACCACATTGTCTTCATATTATCTAGAGATAGCGTTCTCTGGTTAGTGATAGGTCTCGGTATCGAAACTAATGAAACTCCAGGGTAAAAAGAGCTTTTCACCCCACAGGAAGATTTTCCGCATGTCCTCAGAAGGAGCGTGAGGGGGAACTAAGGGAGTCCGATGAAGGATTTTCATACATGAGCTTCAGGATTCACTGCTGTGCAGGTAGCTATTAGGAAGGTGCAATCTGGTTAAAGGCAGCTCGATAGCAGCTTGGGAAGCGGCAAGTCGGAAAACCCCGTCACTGAACTACGAATAGTTTTCCTGCAATCTCAACATTGTCCACCATTGGTGTCAGAGATATGGGTTAGGGAAGTGTTTGATTGATGGAAGGAAGGCAAATGCAGCATATGCCTTATTGAAAGTGATGGGTTCAGAATTCAGTGTCACAAACACAGTTCGGCAAGATCAGATAGTATAGTAGACAGGGGCTCAAAGATGCCCCTTGAACGTCGAATTTGAGTGAGGAGTGTTCCTGTAACCTAGCAATTCTCAACGCTATCCGCAAGTCTTTCTGAGTTGCACCCCAGCGATATCCTTCCAAGAAATCAATCGAAAGTCGCTAAACTCCCGCTGGTATCACAAAGCAATTGCTCCAACCCATTTTTTTCCCCTCGCCCGTGCGCCGGTAATATGCAACTGAAGTTCCACTTCCACACCATTTTTTTCTCTTTCCCGCTTTCCATGATCCCCTGAACCGCTCCTACTGATTCCACACAAATGTACCGGTAGGACCGCCACCACGGCTGATCAAAAGCATCTCCAAGCCTTCCATCCTTCCTCTTAGTGCACTGTTCTCCGTCTCCAGACCATGATTCCTCCTTTCAAGCTGGCTGATATACTCCGTCGCCTTACTGAGGATCGTCGCCTTGTTGAGCTTGGGAGCCGGAATCAGACCGCTCAAATCCCCTTCCTCGCCCTCATACTCATCATCGTAATTGCCGCTCTCCATGCGCATGGCTGCGATGCGAAGAGATGGAACAGAGTCGCGAAGCGCTGCGATCTTGTCGTTGAGGTTGGTGCGATATCTCTTCTCGATCATGTTGTGGGCCGTCTTCTTGGGGGCCGTCATGGAGGGGGGAGAAGTGCTCTTTTCCTTCTTAGTCGGTGGGCTGTGGGACGAATTGGGCGGCGGGGATAGGGAGACGCGCTTGGCTGGGCGACATTCCTCTTCATCGGAAGACGAAGAGCAGGAAGACTTGCGCTTGAGGTTGTTGCGCGAGGGGTAACGCTTCACATCCTCAGCAAGTTCGATAGGTTGTTGCTGTTGTGGTTGTGGCTCAATAACGGCAGCCGGGGTAGAGCGTTGCGAGGGGGGTGTTACACCCATGACTTGAGACTGGAACAGTGGCGAGTTGGTATTTGTGCCTTCGAAGTTGAAGTTAAGGTCTTGTGTTGTCGTGGGCACCTCTAGCGAGAGCTCAACGGGGTTGATGGATGGGCTGGCGGTAAGAGGCCGAGGTGGGAGGGTCGAGATGAGGCTTCCGTCGTAGGGTTCAGTCTTGAAGCAGTCTTCAGACTCTGGGGAATGCTCAAAGTGCTCACGCTCGAACTTTCCCCATCTAAACAAATCATCACCATATGGCGAAAATAAACCGAAGGAAGTGGCGCTTGGCACAGGGGAGATGGGCGATACAGGGGATCCCGCAGAGTCGGAATTGAAGTCGGTGCTGTTGAAGTCCTCGTAAAGGGCAACTGGCGAGAAGTCTGTTAAAGATTCAGGGCAGGTTTGCTGTAACAATTGTTAGTCGCCTACATTTGCGCCATGGACAAGTCTGTGAACGGATGTTGTCATGTTAACTTACAAGTTGGCCAGTGCTGTAGGGCACGGTAGTGTACGACGTGAAGGCCATGGGTTGGTCCATGGTTGTTGTCCTGATGTCCATCTGGTGACAAAATCAGGTGTGTTTGTTTTCGGGTGTGGTGTGTTTGATGTTTTGCATTCAGATTGTGGGGGTAGCGATCCGAGCGTTTGATGTGTTGTCTGTTTAATCGGACGGCTTGTCTGGTGATGAACAAGCGTCTGGATTGTGGTGTTTTGAGTTTTCTGGGTGATCTTGGTGATGCAATGACAACTACTATATGCCATCGAGAGAGAACAATGGGCTATTTGATATTAAAGGGACATAGTCAAATGAGTCGGAATCGTTCGGTAACGCGCGCTCGTGTAGGTACTCCCGCTCGTCTAGCTACTACCGCATGGGGCTGTGCGTGCATTGCATTTGCAGCAGACATACATTCCACTTCATAACGGGCGATCTGCATCACCTGCCAGTCATACGATTGCGCCCGAAAATCCAACTATCAACGGCAAAAGGTCTGGATCGCACTGGGCTAGGTGGGCGTGGCAGGGTGCATAGAAAGTCCACCTCAAGTCGCTAAAGCCAGCTTTCGCTACAGGGGCTAGAGGACCCCGTGGGCCCCTATGTATTCGGCTGGAGCCCTGTTCTGAGAGCACATAGAGGTACCATCTTAACGCCGGTGGTCCGTCATAGGCGGCCTTTCGAGTTAGTAGTGAGCATGGCAGCGGCTCAACATCGAGACCTCGGAGCTCTCCGGGACGTGGCCTCGGCATCAACAGCCCCAAGTTGCTTCCCTGTCCCAACTGGCCCAGGCTTGTCCCTACCCTCCCCAACACTTCTGCACAAACGTGACATCGAGGACCTTTGGTGCCCCTAGGGTCCGGGTCGGGTAAGTTTTGGCTTGGAGTGCTCGGCGCCGGTTGACATGACAACTGCCATGGGCTTTCAAGCTTTGCCATGCAGTCATCAACAAGTCGCATATGGACTACGATCGAGTCTTTTTCAAAATGGGATTTGGCTATGCCGAGCATGCCTGGGAGGGCTATTTTTGCCGCGCAACGAGGTGAAATCCGGATCATCTTTGTTTCTCACATGTCAGAAAGATACTACACAATGACGGCGGTAGATATGGTGTATACTTGTGATTGGGATTTGCTGAATGGGTCACGGCATCACGCTGCTCCCAGATCCTGAGGTTAGTGGCTCGACGGTCAACCCAACATATTGGCATACCGCGCGGAGACCCGATGGTGGTGAAAGCGCGAGATATCATCAAGGTTTCTACTGGGGGTAATGGGCCGTTTCTGACTGCAGCAGATCGAGATCCTGCTCCCAGTCATTGCCGTGCTCGGTCATGGGGATTGTAGTAGTCGCGGTTGACCGCGCTCCGGAGTCATGGGTCAAGCGGATACGAACGAAGGTGGACGAGAGGTGCCAAAAGGTGCCATGGCCGATTGGAGAACAACCGTTGAAAGCCGCCGCGAGGGCGTCAATCGCGGAGAAACATTTGCACGTTGACTCGATTGAATGCTTGGCAAAATCCCTTCAGTCCGTTTGCCGTGGGTTCGGGCCTGGCGAGGGTGGGAATAGCACCTCTATTGGGTTGGGTGTGTTTTCGTCGAGCAGGTCAAGCGAACGAGATTGGCTTGGAATCTGCTGTGTTTTGGGAGAATGGTTCGATTTCGAGGAAAGCCCACAATCCAGAACTGACCCACCATAGCAGCCCGCAAAACGTGTGACCGGAAATGGCCGTGGAGTAAATTGCTAGTGCTACGGTACTGCCCCAGCCCTTTTCACTGCATAGGTACTCACAAACCATCTCGAAAAATTATCGTAAACCGTGCACTTGGACCAAACTCACCCGATATTTCCTCGTCCCCCCCCCCGTGCCCTCCTTGGGTCACCGGATCCAAGTCCCGATTTGGCGAACAACGCGATGCCATTGGGACGATGAATGATGACTGTTAAAAAATTCACTCATTGGGATCATTGCCACCAGTTATGAGCCCATTGACGGCCATTTAACATGCTACCGGAGAGGCTTGGTGGAGCATGGCAGCCCTGGGAGTTAAAGTCACTCCTGTCAACGGACCTTAAGCCAGACAGACCTAGGGGCATGTGAAAGACCCATCCGAACTGCCCCACAATGGTACCTTACCTCTAGTGTACGCAGTAGGTACTGTACCTACCGCCGCACCGGACCGAGCGACGAACGGGATCTATTCTACGCCCCACCCGGCCGGACTGCCCGCCGAGCCGGGCCATTTGACAGTTCCACTTGCCGGTTCAAGCGCGCACTGGGCTGCCGAGATCGATCGCTAGCCGCCGACGCACCTCCAGCCCACTTCACAAAGCTCGGTGCCAGTCAACTCATTACCAACAGGGCCACGGCGTATTTTCGAGCAGACCGATCGCAACCCCGAGCGTCCTGCCATTCAAGGCTTAAGTGCTTAGTATAAATTGGCATTGCCCACATCAATTTTCGCCCATGACCAAACCTATCACCACACATGACGTGCGTATCATCAGCATCACGAAAGCGTTTATTGCACGGCAAAGTGCGCGCTGCATACCCCAATTCCTAAGCAACAGTTCTAGCGCAGCTCCATTGCGCAGCCTTTGTCGCACCAAGTCGTTAGCTCTGGTACCTACCAAGGATTATCACGTTCCATGACCTCGTTTTTTTCGGCTTCATCGTTCATGTGCCTCACAAGACCTCGGTTGGTGAAAGTCTTCAACCTCTCTTGCGCCCGTCTTTGTTCTTGCGGTCTATCTTACAGTGGCTACAATTTTGCCACTAGCCTTCTCTGCCACATATCTTTCGCGTGGCTGCACAGCTTTGAAGGCACCGAATCAGCCCAGCCCTGCCCGGAAATGTACCAACCGAGGAATCTTTCGGGTCTAGATATAGGTTCAGGACCTTTCATGGGTTGTCGGGAGGATACTCACAGCGTCGACCAGTCACAGGTTCCGGTGTATTTTTCCCGCCTTCCCTTCCCTTCGCAGCTCTCTTCATGCTCCCAGTCGAGAATCAAAACCAAAACGGGCTTGCATGTACGAGGACAACACGTGGACCATGTGAAACACCGAACACTCATTGGGGGTCCGGACATCCATACCGTCAATTTCAATTCACTGCACGTTCAATCCAAAGACTGAGAATTGCATGTGTCAACGTGCAATTGTACACTGGCCAAAAGGCCCCCACTAACCCGACGTCCTGGACCATGGACATATGAGGGCAGAATGCCATCATCTACCGGACGGCCATGCAGACTCAAGATAAACAGTGCAGAAAGGTCTAGAGCTCGAGGGCCTTACGCGAGCCGCACTTTTACCATGGTTGAAGGACATAAAAATGCATGGGGCATATGCCGGATCACTGCATCATGCTTCGAAGGACCACAATCAACAACACAGTGTCATTCTGCATTAACGAAAGCCTGCTGTAACCATCTACCAGTACGTGTCCTGCCAAAGCTCGAGATGGCAGGACTGGATAAGACACAATGTGGTGTATCCCGGGAAGTTCATGTTCTGTTCTCGGGATCACATCATCAAACCAAGTTGCAATCGCTTCAAAGCACATCCCAAGGGACACTCCGCCCGCCGAAGGCCTTTGATGAAGCAATGAACAAACAAAATAGATAAGACGGTCTTTCCGAACTTTGCTTCTTTAATATTTTGAACGTAATGGTATAGCTAACATGCAGGCACAGATGAATCATATCGAAATAGCACAATATTTTACCCAGTTCGATAGTTCAGTTCGGGACATCTTGATTCTAATTTCCACTCCCGCAATGCCTGCACTGGCCAAAACCAGGAAAAGCCACGCCCATCTTTCCAATTCTGGGATCTGCGGGTCTTGGAGGCTATCATGGGGTGTAATGTTAATATCAGCCGCCATTCAACCTCCGAGCCTGGCCTCTCATATGTCGCCGTCGCTTCTACATCAATCTGCGGATAAAGTCAGTTGGTATCCCAAATTGTCACCCTCTCCACCACTCGCCGCCTTCACATTGGGGATTCACCCACGCTCAATATGTTGTCTGCATCAGCGCCCAGCATGCGATCTTCAGTTTTGGTCTTTACCTGGAAGGAGCACCTCGAGGGGGAAACGTCTCCATGGTTCTGTAGATTAAGAGTGACGATAAAAATGGCATCACGCGGTTCACCCGCCCATTGGTACATATGCTATACCCCCTCGGCTCGACACATCTGCCTCCGACATCCTGACCAGAGTATCACCGCGACCGGGAAAACAACTCGACGATAACAGGCAGCTCACTCTGGTTGACTTTCTTGGCAGGAACAACAAGTCAACTCATAGAATCAGCAGCGCATACTTTAGAGCAATGATTTCCGTCATTCTTTCTATCTCGCTCAGTTTTTACTCTCCGGGTTTCGACCAGGAAATTTTCAATCCCTCATCTGTCTGGTTGCCGCGCTCAGCATTTTTAACACCTACTCAGCGTTGAAATTCTCTCTTGTGGACGTCACGCGTCTATAAGCGACAATGTTCTGGAACTTACTATTCGCGGTCATCGTGACCTTACTGCGCAGCGGTACGAACAGGAATCCCTTACATCCACTGGACCCAATTGGGAGGCACTAATGCGCCCAACAGTATCTGCTGCCGAGTCTGTTGCAGTTCACGACGCCGAAACTGGCCTCACCTACTCCCAAAACTTTGCGTTGTACAAGCTCGACGGTCGAGGGATAACCTTCCGAATCGCAATCCCCAGCAACGTCTCCAGCAACTCCGCCTACGACGCGGTAGTCCAGGTGATCATTCCTAACGACGTCGGCTGGGCCGGGCTTGCTTGGGGCGGTTCAATGACCAAGAACCCCTTAATGGTTTTTTGGCGAGGGTCAAACAATCAACCAGTGTTGTCGTCTAGATGGGCCAGGTAAGTTACGCTTATACGTTCACATGCACAATCACATGCACAGGTTTTCAATGTTTTGGCTCTCATCCGTATGGATGGATTCACATGTACATGCAATGTTGTGCTGAAAGAAAATGCGGGCGGATTATCAATTCCCATACCTACATGACGGCTATGTGGGAACTGGCAGCCCGCATTATCTTCTCATCTTTGTCTTGACATTTTTTTCTTGCGCCTGACATAGATGCAATGCACATCGATATTCCCCATCCTCGCCTTGGGGTGCATACATGTACCTGTGATAATTTCAGACCAACCGAAATCAAAACCGCAAACTTCACCTACTAACCTCTCCCCCCTTTTCTCCAATTCAGCAGCCACACACCTCCTCAACCCTACACCACCGCCACCTACACTTTATTCAAAACCGGCACCAAGTCCAACTCCACCCACTGGCAATTCACCGCCCTTTGCATGGGCTGCACCTCATGGGCCGCCGACGGCGGCGCGGTCCGCTACGTCCAGCCCAACGGCGGCAACCGGCTTGCTTTTGCTTATAGCCCCACTAAACCTTCGAACCCGTCTAGCCCGACGAGCGCGATCACGGTGCACGATGTGCATGCGTACTGGAATCATGATTTCAGTACGGCGAGGAATGCGGGCTTCGAAGCGGCGGTGCAGAGGTTGTTGGGGGGTCAGGGAGTTAGGGCTTAGGTGGCCAAAAGGGGCAAAGTGAGAGGGGATGTTGGAGGGAAATGGGTGGCTAGGTAAGTCTTGAGAGGTTTTCGCTAGGTCTTTGCAAGTGGAATGTTCATCTCGAAAGAGGTGTGGCGTGGGCTAGGAGTGTCTCATTGGTGTTGATCATGGGCATGAGGGACAGATAGAGCAAAGTACAGGTGTGAATGAAGTCAAGCAATGTCTGGAAATTTGTGATCGAAGAAGCAATGTTACACCTGCATCACTTTCCTGTCCTGAAATGTTGGTTGATTCACCCACCACTGCAGGCCACAACAACGATGATGGCTTGGTAGACACTTGACTGTTCTGGGACCTAAACATGTTGTTTCCTTCGTAAGAAATCTTCGATGGCTCTTGAATGGAGTAGTTACAGTTTAGAAAATGACAGCTAGTCTGTACGTACCTGATATTGTCCGTCCATGTGACTGTTTCGAGATGTGCATTTCTGGCGGTCTCATCACCATCATGCATCATATGTTCAAATTGTTCATATTATCCATCCCAATGCGATAATATTCGATTGAATCACAGGAGATTGAAAGATGATCCGGAGTAGCGATCCCAAATGAAGTTGAAGGTCAATACATTGAGCAGAAGGGTTTTCTATACAGGAGTGTCTCAACTGGTAATCCCGCGCATAAGAGTCAAACAAGGGAATTTCTAGGACGACTTTCTTGATATTATAACCAACGGAAAACGAACAAACGCCTGCTTTCTTCTGTCGATTAAACCACCATTGGAAAAATATCCCCAGTATGGAATTTCAACCATTCGGCCAGGATGGTGGTTCCTCCTCCTCCTCCTCCCCAGGCTCTTCCGAACAATCCTTCTGCACGCCTCCATAATCACCAATCCCTGTCATCTACTCCAGCTCTCTTAACAATAATCGACATAACAATGACTCGAGCCCTGGAAATGGCGAGCTAGAAATAGAAAGCGGTGTACGCACACCGTCACAGTACCTCTCTTCACCACCATCACCATTCCCATCACTACCTCCAGGCCACATACGGCATCCCACCACCTACCCATATCTGCCGAACAATCGTGATTACCAACCAACCACCTCTCAACGAGGAAAAAGGATAGTCAGCTTCTTCCCATGCCTCTATGACAACGACCAGTATCTTTGCCTCTGCCTTCCTCCCGTCTTCACCAAAGCAATGGTCAACCTAGCAAGCGGGATCAAGGTGGTGGTAAAGATAGTCTTTGAGACTCTCAGAACCGGTATGGATTGGGTCCCGCCAATTCCACCCGAGTCTGAGTCCGATTCTGACTTTGATATCGAGAGAAATTTGGATCGATTTTCGGGACGGGGAAAACGGAGCGGGGTACGGAAGTGGAAGGGGCCTCCTCCACCTATTTTCGTGCCAACGGGCGTTCTGCCTTTGTTTCGAAGTGATCATCCATCCCAGGAAGTGGACACGGAGCGCTGGAGTCGGCGGGGAAGGAACGAGGTACCCGCATCGCTGCGGCGGTTGGGGGACGGAGTAGGTGCTATAGTGGATGGAGAGAGGTATGTGAAAAGAAGGAATGAGAAAAATGACCATGATGCTGCCCATGTGAATGGCAATGAATTGAGCACAAAGATGAAGTGGAAGGGAAAGGGGAAGGCGCAGGCGGTTGACGTGGCACGAATTTCAACAGAGGTTTTGGCAAGTGGTTCCGGGGATCCAGGAAAGCTGCGGAGAGGATCGTATGTTCCGACGCGGCCTGACAGGAGGGGAACGAGGTGGGTGCCGAGAGGTGTTCATGGTGTCTGGGATGAGGACTACATAGGACAATCTTAATGAGAAATGGGGACCGAACTGGAAAAGAACGGGGCTTCAGAAACAACGAGTGGAAGGAAAGGGGCGATTGCGTGAGGTCGAAACTTGGCCACGCTGGAGATTGTTGCAACCAGACGGGAAGACGCGCGAGGAACATGAGCTTCGGTTTCTTGAGCAGAATCATCCAGCAGAGTGCCTTTCCCAAATCTGAAGAGACAAAAGAGGGATAACATGAACGATGCTGAAATGAAGTTTGTATCCAAAATTATAGAGCTTTGCAGTTCCTTGATGTTCTAGCTTGACAACCTAATCATCCCTTACTTGATCATGTTTGTGAGGAAGCCCCACGAGCCGGAGTAATTCGTAGTCTTCTTGCTTTCCTTCCAATTTTATTCGGCTTGCGACGTCGATGCAGTAATGGGGTCTCAGAGGCTCCAAACCACCATCTTCTGCCTGAAAACCTTCAGCTTCTAGATGACCACGAGGCATGTTGCAATCCTTCACTTCCCTTGTGGGGCAGACACTACCGGTAGTAGGCTCCAGTGTCCCAGATAGCCTGTTATCTACTTGTAAGCCGCTGCTGGCATCCTCTCTGTGTCATCTGGACCTTCGAACCTGAGTGCGCCTCCCCCTCATCTGGCGCTGTACGCGTCACGCACTGGGGCGTTGGTGGTTAAGGAAGGAGCACAGCCCCTAACATGCCCTGCCAGCTGCCACAAGCACCCGGCTGAGAGAAACCGGCAGGCCCAATATAAGGTCGGGTACCAGACACCAATACCACAGCGGGCTCTGTGGTCTTATGTCGCAGTGGTTCCGTTGATGAAAACATTGCTGGGCACGCGGTGTCCAAGGTACAGTTTTCGTAGGGCGCAGCTGGAGCATTGTGGTTCGTTCCACAAGCTTACCTGGGCGCCTAAGCTTTTTGCCAGTTTTACCGTCATCGATTCTTGCTGAAGACAGTTTCGATGTAATCCTTGGACTTTTCCCTTTCTTTTGCAATTTCGAACGATGTCTGCATCGCACTTTTGGGTTTAGGGCGAAAGTGGTCTGGTATGCACCTTTTGAATTGAAGTAATGCGAAGAGATGAAGCTATTCCCGTGGTACAGAGACAGACTAGAAACAGTCAACATTACAATCATCCTCCAAGGGTCGACTCACCTTGACCGCTAACTGGAATTCAACATTTCCGTGGGTCCATAACGCATGACTAGAATGATCAGACGGTCTTCATGCTCCGGGAAAAAGGTCGCACATGTTACTTTGGAGTGCAGAAAGACGTTTGTTCTGGGCCTACCGTGTCCAGTATGATGTAGAAAGTAACAGCATACACGCATTCTCTCTATCTTCCAGCGCCGGTGCCGCACACGCTGCTTGATGGCTGGATTCCGATTGTTCTGCCCCTCAAACTCAAGTCGGTCACTCGTTTATGAATCGCCGGATGCTGGCGACACTCCCAAAATTCTACAATTCTGATTATCCCTGGATGTTGGAGAATACCTTGTACTTAGTTCGGTACTTACCGTCGGTATGTTTGTTTACTTCTGGGGCAAAGTGAGGGCATTCAGAATGCCTACAGAACCGATAAGCTGTGCTATGATGTCATGCAACAATCTTATCTTATCGGCGTCTCATCGGCTTTCTTATCTCCCTGATAAGCTTGCCCGATGGGTGCCCCACTATAAACGTGACTCCCCTCGTCGCAACCACTTTCAACGTTCCTTCGTTTCAAATTACGGTTTTCTCATATTGCACTTTGCACTAGTGACTTGTCATCAACACATCGATTTTTCTTGAATCCTAGCTTTGTTCTAACGAATGAAAACCCAAAATGTGCATGCTCTTCGCAAACAGTCAACAATGCTCGATGGCGTGACCTGCCTTGGCCACAACCCGACTCCTCTGACCCAATCCAGTCAACAGTCTTCCTACACCCTCCTTCACACCAGATCATCGCAGGTCACAAGACCACAGTAATATCTCTTGGCGAACGATGGCAGCAATCGCGACATCAAGTCTTCACCAGTACCCGCGGTACGGACTCGACTCTGCCGACTGAAAATATTCTGACCACCCACTTCCAGCGCGAGAATCTGGTGATCGAGGCGACCGAATTGGAATATCATCGCTCGCGTAACTGGTAAACCGAATACCTCCCTGGTTCCTGCCTGTGTTACTCCGCGGTGGGGAGGGACTAGAGCCTCTCCAAGTCCCAGAGCGTCTACTTCCAAGGCTGTCATCGTATCCGTACGACCGACGGCCGGATGAGTTGTTCTGTTGGCGCGGGGGAGGCGACGATATCCAGCTCCTCCGGACAGGAGAAGGCGGTCTAAACACCCGAGCCGACCGACTCCATCCCCGATCGCGACCCGGACTGCTCCAGAACGATCCCTGCGTTCGAATTGGTGACGGCGAATACCCCCTACGAATCGGACTGCGGCCGTGGCGGGCATATATCACGTCGCCGCTATAATCGGAACCGCTTTCTGAGCGGCGAGCCTCCGAGTTGTCGTATGTGAATGGTGCCGGCGGTGTTTGAACCCTAGAACGACCGTGCAGATTCGATCCTCGCAGCGTTGCGTTGAAGCCATAGCCACCGAATCGCGCAGGACCCCTTGCAGCACTGCCGCTCCACTGGTCGGAATAGTCGGCATCATAATCCGAGTCGTCGAGGGTTCTCCTTGAGCCGCGCGGTCTTGTAGGACTGTCGATGAAGGATGATTGGCCGTGGGTCCCATCAGCGGGACGTCTCGGTTGCTGAGAATAGAAGGCACTCGAGGATTGACGGTAGCCTACTGTCCGTCGGGTAGGGCTATATGGGGACTCGGCCCTGGTGTTTCTGTAGTACGGGTCAGGAGAGGATTGGTACCCATCCCAGTCACGGTCACGGCTGGGAAAGGTGAAACCCGAATAAGCGAAGCGTCTCGACATTGGCGTGAAATTTGGAGCTGAAGTCAGTATTGGGTATAGTTTGGGTTGGTGGCCTAGAGATTCGCCAGAGCTGTTTCGTGTTGTCCAGGAATACAGCGTCATGTCCTGGTAGGCTTACACCCATCCCTTTTTATGTTTTGCGAGAGAGAGAGAAGCGTAGTGCCTCGATAGTCATTCTCTCGAAGCTGGTTGTTCAGGCTTCTATCGGAAGGCAAAGCATTGATCGTAGGTTTGCGGCTTCGCATTTCGGACGAGTGTCCATGCTTTTCACTCACGCATTACCTTTACCACTTCGTTTTTCCTGCTATGGCTCATGGAAATTGTTGAGTCCATCATGAACAGAGACTAAGGATTACCTTGATCAATCAGTTCTGTCGCAAAGTGTTTGACGACTCATCAAACCCTCGCGTCTTTGAAGTGACGCTAGATCGAGACCATGAGAATCATCAATCTGGATTGCCATGCGCACAAGAACTGTTCCCAGGACCTAACGAGTATCTATAACCACCATTATCTATTACTGAACCTTATCTTCATAAGTTGGAACAGTTATGGAAATCTTTTCTCGAAATAAGAATTCTTTTCTTTTTTTGTTTTTTTGGAGAGAACATGTTTTCATACATATCCGGCTACTTACTCTCACCGCCCCAACAAGTGGGTAAAGAACTGAATATACCCTTTTTCAAACCGTCGTCAACGAGCGACATCCCTGTTTGAAACATATTCTGCTCCCGCTATAAAATCCGTTTCTCGTCAAACCCTGACATCTCCAGAGGCTTGACTCATCGACTCTTACTGCTGCGCCCATTATAAGCTTCATCACACAAGGGCATGTGTTGCAAAGACTCATGGGGAATCCTCTCCTCTCTAAGCGATGGACGGTGACGGCTTCGGCTTCGACTTCTTGGCTGCCGCATATTTCCTTTTCTTACGGTCGGTAAGGGGTTACTTGGAGTAAATTCGCTGGGTTCTCTCTTCTTCATCGCCATTAGGGTGTTGCTCACTACGTGCGCCCCTCGCAGTTTTTGAACCTGGTCGAATTTTCACAGTATCCTTAATCAGTAGTCTGGAGTCTCTCAAGATCTGGCGGCGGTGAACAAAGAGATTGGGTCGCATGGAAGTCGGACCATAACACAGGTCGACTGTGATGGTGCAAGTGTCTAGTAGTCACACTCCCTGGAATATGTTGACACTTGACACTCATGGTTTTGTCACCACGCCGTTCATCTTAATTCCTTAAGGTCATATAAAAGAAATTTCGTTTCTACTGCTTATTTGGAACCAACACTGCGACCTGGCGCAGTGACACCCGTCTACAATTCCCATGATCTCCCTTCCAACTGACCCTACCGCGTAGCAAGGAAAGACACTCGAGCCACCATAATCCAACATCATCTGTCTCAACCAATGCGCCTTGCCCATCAGATCCATTTTCCATCATGATACATAGAGGTAGGCATCGACAATCCTTTCTGCAAAATATTCATCCGATCCGAGCCCGCATGATCGGTGAAATGAGGAAATTCAGAGCTTCTCGCGTCGATGGAGACAACGCTCCCACTCTTTGTCGCTGCCAACAGCACACGACCCATTCCTTGCCTTCCGTTGAGCCTACCAGTATGTCCAAGAGATGTTTATCTTTGACCGTTGTTCCTAAGACTGGAACCATTCGACCCTCGTACGTATCGAACACCGCTATGGATACGTGATGCGTCATCGTGGGTTCTGGGCCTCAAGTACAAGTTAGTGAGAAGAGGTGACAGCATTGAGATAGACAACCTACTCATATCTTGGCTCAACAAAAGGTCCGGGGATGCTTCCCAAAGGACGTTCACGTCTTGGTCGCCAATGGTCGACTCTGTCATAACGATCATCTACCTGGTATGTGGCTCCCCGGAGGATTCTGTAGGGTACTCTGACCTCGGTTCCAGGGCCATGTGTCCTCGACTTCCATGGCGTGCCATGTAGCGTTTCGAATTGCCCGCTGTGAGTGCTATTGGTTGGGGAGATAGGTTCTTCGCTTGGGCTTGACGGTGACGCGGCTGGCTTGTTGTTCTTTGTGAACCTCTGGCGTTGCTTCTCGTCATACTTTGCAATGTCGCAACTCGATAGTTCATCGGGCATTGCTATCAGGAGCTCCGTGTTTGCAACACTAGCCGCATCTCCGCAGGGTCGTGCTGCCGCCGGGCCATAAGAGCCGTTTTTCCGACTGAGATTATTTTCTTTAGTCAGCTTCTACTTTATACTTGTTCAATTCACAGCTTGTGACATACTCAACATCGCCGCTCGTTTTCCGCTCGTCGTTCATGCTCTCGATATCGTGTGGGTACTCGTAAGAAGATCCGTCCTCGTCTTCCATGTTGCACGGGGAATGGTCGTCATAGTCACCAGATCCATATATAACCCATTCCATTTCGGGAGGAGCAGTAGAGTTGGATGAAGTTTGGCTTTGGGATGGCCTTTGCTGGTTTCTCTCATGTTCGTGGAGGTCCTGGCGACTACGTCTATGGACTTGACCAGCATCATACTTTTGCATTTCTGAATGGTTGTTTCGTAAAACTAGTTGACCCCTACTAGAAAATTCATGACGTAACTGGTTGTTTCCGTTCATCCTGAGTACTGTTTCCTGGCTGTACTGGGCGTTGCTTGTTTATAATAAACTTGCGGATGGTCGGTAAGGAAGAACAAAAAAACGGGAAATCATAAAGGGAAGTAATGAGTAAAGTTACTGATGTTTTTGGTGGTATGTCTTGAATGGCAGCTCAGATAGTCGTCAGCGTCAGAAGTCGTTGTTCTTATACTTCCACGAGGGCCTTCAGAAGCAGCAATGGGTGGGCATCGTCACGAGACACTCCTCGAACATTCATGTCGAGACAGTGAACTAAATCGATCAGAAGGCCTATTCATCACTTTCACAAAGACTCAGTAAGCGCCTATAAGCCAACCATGTCTTTGGTGATATGCTATTTGAAAACTGAAGCTGCTCGAAATCGAGGCGTTCGGCGGCTAGCTATCTCATCCAGGGTCAGGAGGTATTCGAGCATGATCAGTATTGACTTCCAAACGGAACGAGGGTAGAACTAATAGAAAACTTACCGAACACTCTGTTGTATCTCACCGTGTTGATCGCCTTCCTCAAGAACCGAAGGTCGTTATTTATCGCCAAGTGTATCATGTACTGCCTGATTTAACATCCGACGCGATCCCCGATCCGTGGGCGAGGGCTGACGGCAAGCTAGGATCTTGAGGATATCAGCTCAATGCTTTAATTGAGTGCTTCATAGAGCTCGATTGGTGCATCAACCGCCATGGGGTGTGTTTGTAGAAATGGCCCGTGAAACGCTGGGCCAAAGACAAAGGGTTCGTCTGTTGGTTCCATACGCGAGCAGCATGGCCACCCAACACTAATCGCGCGGTCCCGGTAGTGCGGATAATGACGCTCTTGTCTGTTACCCAAAAAATTGGTGCATATGATGTCTGGTCTTGCCAAAGTATCTGCATCGGGATTTCAAAAACTTGACTTGCCAAGGCCGCGTCAACAGAAGAGGAAGGTTGAGGAGAATTAGCGTAATGTTAGCATCTTATCCTAGCTCATCTAGATTTTGTCGCGACTTCGTTAGTGCCTCATCTCATTCCAGCGGGAGTTTCTTTTCCCAGGTTAGCGCGTGAAAAATAAAAAAATAAATAATGAGAAAGAATGAAAAAAAAGAGTTAAAACAAAAAAGAAAAAACCGCCAAAGTCAAAGTGCATACGTCTGTTAAAGCACCAGCGCGCGGATGTAGGTGCCTGTGATTCTAATTATTCCTACCCTCTGCTGTCTATTTCAACCCAACACTTCCGCGATCAACACTCCCCATGACCCTACTATCGAAAATATTCCTTCCTCCATGACATCCTTAACATCCAATTGATTCCTTTGTCTACCACCCTCTACCAATCGAAAAGCTTCTCCAATCCGTCCCACAATCGTGAAGCCCGACTCCTCCTCCGACCACCGCCATCGCCGCCGCCGGAAGATCCACCCCGACGTCCCCTCTCATAATCCTTCTCCCTTCTCTTTCTCTCCCGTGAAGCTTCTATCTGGCGTCTTTCCCTTTCCCTGGCCCTCTCGATCTCCCTCTCCCTCTCCCTCTCGATCTCCCTCTCCATTCTTCTGTCCATTTCCTTGTCCCCACGATAATAACCACGAGATCTAACATCATCGTTGGTCGCGGCTCTTGACCCTGGTCTTCGGTACGCTCTCGAAATAGGAGCTGGTGACGGTGATAGTTGTCTTCTTCTCTCGTCAAACCCTGAAGAACCATAACGATCAAAATTGGTTTCGAGTGGCCGAGAGCGAAGGGGACGGTATCTTTCAGGGGAGCGCCCCTGAGGCCGTTGAGCTTCTCGCGAGCGATAGAGGTCGGGTTCTTCGGTCCAAGGACGGGTGCGTTCTTGCCTACATACATGTCAGGTTCGGGGTCTTTTTTTGGTGGGAATTATATCAACACTTACCATCCTGGCACGCTGCTATGCGGCATGCGTGCCCGGCGAAGCATTTCTTGATCTGGGTTCGGCCAGGGAGGATCAAATTCACCCCAGTAAGGATTGGGGGATGGCTGTCTGCGAGAGCCCATGACTGAGACTATATGCTGTCAATACCTTCAGATCTACTGCAAATAGGTGCTTCCACTGATGGTGGGCTTTCTTTGACTGGTTCCAAAATCACGGCTTTGCTGAGGAGTTCCTGAAACTTAAATAGACACTTAGTAATGACGAATATGAAGACCACTTCGCAAGGTTAATCACCGGGCGGGTGACCAAGATGCTTGTCCATAGTTCTTCCCAACGGAATCAGGCTTCACGAGCCGTTTGTGGTCCGGTAACTTCACCTTGCTCCTGACCCGTCCCTTCAGCCAGCCATTCATTGTGAATCGGGTGAAGAAAATATCGGGGGAGCTATTATGTAGGCTTTCCTTCGGTCTTGATAATTCAGTATGCGGCGCAGCCTATCGCCGAACCAGTTACTGAGCCAGCAAACACTCGATGACCACCTTGGAATCAACCGGAGATATCTACGTCAAACGATCTGGACAATTCACAATGAATACCCTTCACAGTCTCCCAAATTTTTTTCGAGTAGCGGATAAACCATATAAAAGCACACCATCCTCAAACTCTTCCCTTCAGGAAAATCTTCCACAAAACTCAACAGACCCCATCCACCAAACTTATAGAATCGCGCAGGAACCTCACAACCAGAACAAGAACGCAGGTCAATATGTCCTACTCAGGCTCCCGCTACCGCCCCTCCGGGCGCTAGGTAGCTGCACCTAATGATTCCCGGTCAAGACGTAAGCCTTTCCACCCATCTGCCAGACCTCTACGAGTAACTCGCTGACCCAGCCAACTATCAAGATTCAGCGTCGTCACGCTACGACACCCCCAGCAGAACCCCCCAGCCCGCTGGCGGCGGCGGCCCCGGTCACGGCGGCGATAGTAGGGCCCGCTCCTTCCCCGCAGATGAGTACCTCGGCTACAGCTCCGACGACGACGATGACGGCGGCGACTTCTACCGCCGCTCATCCGGCAGAGCCCCTGGTAGAGCCCCTAGCGGTGGCAGTAGCCGTGGCTACAACTACGATGGCTACGACGATGGCTACGAGGGTGACTCCGACCGCGGTTACAGCCAAGGCGGTGGTAGATCTCAGTCATCCCGTGCTTCCCTTGCTCCTTGAGATGATCGCCACCACGGTCACGGCGGCCCTTCTTCTTCTTCTACCCACCGGGACGAACAGCGCTACTACGCTCCCGGCGGCTCAAGCAGCTCTGGCCGACACCGCCCCCATGACCGTGACTATGGCCACGATTCAGGACCAAGTCCTCCTTCACGTCACCGTGACGACGACATGCGCAGAGGAGACCCGAGAGCGCCGATGGAGCGTGGCATTTCAGGTCACGAGAGTCGGCGCGAGATACCCTTTCGCTATGTGAGCCCTTTTGATTTGGGTTTCGCCGGCGGATCGAGAGAGCGTGGTGGTGGTAGTGGCAGGAGTCACCAAGACTCTTTTGGGGAAGATTGGAACATTCCGTCACATTCCCGTCATGGGCGTTCGAGCGGCAGGGATGACGGATGGTTTTCTGATGGAGAGTCCGATTGGAGTGGTGGGTTCTGGTAAGGAGACGGGGCAGATGGGCGCAATGTGTGGCATGGCTAGAGGTATCTGCCTCTAGGTAAGGAAGAAAGGGAAATTTCGGGATGTAGAAATGTAGGAAGTCCGGGAGAAGTACAGAAGAAGGAATCATAGTGGGAAGGGGGCATATTTTAGGCAACAAATGGAATGTGTTGGATGAGATCGATGCTTTGTGTGATTCAGTTCTTTGAAGAGGAGACGATTATTCCTTTTTATATTATCCAGGGACACTACTGATTACTATTGAATGTCCTTACCACCGACTATTTGATGGTGATATGCTGAACCGCGGTAAGCCACTTTTGCTCATCCGTCCTGTAAAAGCAAGTTGTTAGTATCGTCAAGACCGGGTATCGACATGAGACAGGAAAGGTAACTTACTTGTCAAAATTCAACAACTTGCCCAATACCGGCACCAGCTGTGCGCGTAACCTGTTATCCTTCTGCTCCAGGAACTGCAGCAAGATGGTCTTCAAGTACATGGCATCGGGTGTGGCGTTCGCAGACGCGATCGAGTTTGACCTCGCCGAGTCCACGGAGCCCCTGCTTCCACTACCTGCCAGACTGGTCATGCTTGCCAGCTTGGTCTGTACCGTCTTGAGTTCCTTCTGCACCTTGTCGTATCTGAGCCGGTAATCATCCACGGCTCTTCTGAGCTCAGCGTTTTTCTTCTCCGTTTCCCGGACAAGGAGTTCGCTAGCGTCGAGGGTACTCCTAAGGTTCGACACCGTTTGCCGCATCTCCTCGACTTCAGCATTGGATCTCTCTTCGACGCTCTCCAGCTCATCCCTGCGCTTCTTCCACTCCTTCTCCCTGTGCTCGAGTTCGTCCTTCTCGCTTGCCAAGCTCTTCACCTCTCTCTCAAGATCACGTACCTTTTGCTTGAGCTCCTCCGTCTCTCGAGACTTGCGGCGAGCCAGCGCGCTGGTCTCCTCCTCGATACGATCTCTCTCTTCCACCGCTGCCTCCATCTTGGCGCGCATGTCACGCACCTTGCTGTCCGCACGCTCATCCACATCCTGAAGAAGACGACGCATCGTTTCAGCCTCGCGGGTGCGCTCGCTGAGCATCTTCCTCGTCTCGGCCAGTTCCTCATCCAAGCTCTCGCATTGATCCTGTGCCTCCTTCAACTGGATGCTCAGCTCGGCTGTCTGGTCGCGCATGCTGCCGAGCAGGTTCTGCGCGCTAGTATATTGGCTGCTCTTGAGTTGAACTTCCTCCCGCATCATGTCACCCTCCTTTCTAAGACGATTGACCTCTTCCTCCAGCTCGCGGATGCGCGGGCGAAGCTTGTTAGCTTCCTCTTGCACGCGCTGCAGTTCCCGGGCGGTCTTCTCTTCACGTGCGGCAATCTCAATCTTCTCTGCCTCAGACCTGCGAAGGTCCCGACCAAGAACCCGCTTCTCATCCTCGAGCTTGAGACGTGCGTTTGTCTCCTGACCAACCTTGTCGTGGAGAGCCTTGATCTCACCATCACGATCAGCGGCGAGACGCTGGGCACGGACAAGATCAGCCTTCAAGTCTTTCTCGCGCTTCTCGAGATTGCGAAGGTCCGCGTTCCGCGCCGCAAGTTCCTCGCGCACCGTCTTGAGCGTGGCAGCCTCCTGCCGTAGTGACTTGAGCTCAGGTTGAGCCTTTTGCAGAACCTCGCGCAGGTCAGTGAGATCCTTGTACCTGCTTTGGGCGAGCTGCTGGGCGGCGGCAAGGTCAGACTGGAGAGTCTGCGACTTTTGCTTGAGGTCGTCAAATTCTTGACGGAGCGATTCGTGCTCTGACTGAAGCTTGGTATTGGTTTGAGCGGCTGAAGCGGCTGCCTCCACCTCCTTTTCAAGCTCATCAATCCGGGCCTTCAGCTCCTTCTTCTCCTGCTCCAGCTCCTTCAGACGTTGCTTGGTTTCGACATGCTCGAAACCGATCTCCTTGAGACTGTCTTGCAAGTTCTCAATCTCCTCACGGAGGTCCTCTTCAGTCTTGCGTTGCTTGGCAAGACGCTCGATACGCTGATCCTTGTCAGCGAGCTCTTCTTGCAAGCGGGCAAGCTCTTCCTTCAAGCGAGCCTGCTCGGCCTGGAGCTCTGCCGTGAGCTCTGCCGTCGCAGGACCTTCAGCGGGTGACATGGGTGGCTGATCCTCGGTGGCGGTAGGCTCTGGAGCAGTAGCTGCTGGCGTCACCGAAGCCCCACCCTTCTTCTTCTTTTTGTTGTTCTTCTTCTTGTTTAAGGATGCGGGTTGCGTAGGGGTAGACGGCGTGGGTGGTGCTGTAGTGACGGCGGCAGCAGGGGCAGTAGTGAGCGTAGGGGTGGACTTGATCTTCTTCTCCAACACGTCAATCTTGGCCTCATCTTCAGCCTTGGCCTTCTTGAGAGTCTCAATCTCCGAAGTCAAGCCTTCAATCTTGGCGTCTAGAGTGGACTTGGCTTCGGTAACCTTGGTAAGTTCAGACTGAAGCTCCTCGGCCTTAGACTCCGACACAGCAAGCTTGGCAGCCTTTTCCTTTAGTCCCGCAGAGCCTTCTTCCTTCTCCTTCTGCAATTCGGTCTCAACCTCCTTGAGCTGCGACTGCGTCTTTGTCAGACGCTCCGTCAAGGATTCAATCTCAGCCTTCCTGGCTTCAAGCTGCGTCTCAATCGAAGCCTTGACTGCCGCAGCATCTCTAGCTTCACTGAGTTCGCTACTAGCCCTTTCAAGGCTCTCGGCGAGACCGGCGCTATGGTCTTTGGCCGTCACCAGCTCTTCCTTCAGTGTCTTGACCTCATTCTGCAACTTTTCGACCTCGGCAGTTTTGGTCTTTAGCGCAGTCTGTAGCTCCTGGATTTCCTTATTCTCGTCGCTCTTGACTTCGGGTGCCTCCTGCTTGTCGTCGGTCTTCTCATCCGGAGTCTTCTCGGCACTAGTCTCTGCATCCTTGGCGTCCTTCGCTGCGGCAGCTTCGGCTTGTGCAGCCTTGAGAGCAGCGATCTCCTCTCTCAGCGCAGCAGCCTCCTTATCGGCTTCCTCTGCCTTCTTCTTGAAGCTGTCTTTCTCGCCGGATACGCGCTTGAGCTCATCCATAACCATGTCGCCCTTCAGGTTCAGCTGATTTAGGTACTCGATCAATGCTTCGGGATCCTTAATCGAAGTCAAGGGGGTATTTTCTCTGAGTGCCTTTTCGAACGGTTCGATGGAAGTTGCACGGCCGTGGGCAATCCGGTAAGATCGCAGAAGCTCTGCCAAACTGGTTAGCGCATGCGTTCTGCACTGCTGCAGTATCAAAGGAGCACGGACCTGGGTATGTCTTTTCCAGCTTATCCAACTTCCTCAACCTTACCCGGATCTCTGGCGAGAGCTCAGCGGTGGTAGAAGGTGTGGTTGTCCCCGATCTTACTGTCTGCCCTGCGGTAAACTTGTTGACGCTTGACCTGTCTCCATTCTGTAGCGGGTCCGTCCCTTCTTTGACAGGTTCGGTATTGCTGGCCGGCTTTTCAGTATCCTTGCCCTTTCCTTCCTTGTCTGTCGAGACAGGTGTGCCGATACGGGTTGGGGTGTTGCTCTCGTCTGTATCATCGATCACGAAGGCGGCTTCGAAGACGGCAGGGTCGGAAGTGGTGACGGTTCCATCGGCGGACATGTCTTGGCTTAGATTGTTCGAAGGCCGAGGTCTCCTGGACGCTTGTGTCCCGGCAGCACTCGAGGTCCGCGACAACGAGCTCGAGTTTCGTACGTGAGAACTGCCAGGAGCACCGCCTTCGAGGGCTGCTCTCGCCCTAGCCTGCTCTTCCGCAATGGTGCGGTCGATGGCACCCTTGATTCTCTGTGATAACCACGGCATGCTTAGAACCTGTCGAGGCCATACCAGTGGTGTAGCTAGTCAAGAAGGGAGGTGATACGCGTACCTGCAACATGGCGCCTTTGTTCTATCCAAAATCGCAAAGCCACGAGGCTAGGCGCAGCTGCCGTAGGAATCGATCCGCGTCAAGCTCAAGTTGGATTACTAGGTAAGGAGGCGCGGAGGCGCACTGGCACGTTACTGGCAATCAATACTCGCGGATGTCTGCTTCGTGGCAGGTCAAAGCGTGAGGAGGGGATATGAAAGACTTCAGGAGCTGCCAATGCACTCGCAAACAAGTGACAGCAGTTTAAATGGACAGTAAAGACACAGGTACCTGAGGGCAGACTGTTTGGGTGTTAGAATGCGCCCGAGAGCATTGGGCTACAGCTCCCGTCTGTGTGTAACAGTAATAAAGAAGATGATAAGGGGTCAGGTATGATGGTGGTCAGAGTTTGGGTCAGGTCGGCATGTTAGTACCTGGACTGTACCATGATGTTCCGGAACAAAGTCGTTTGGGTTCAAGGAAGGACAAGAAGTCGAAATGGACTGGGTGTGTGGCCTGTGATGCCACTGTAGCGAGAAGTGTACTTTAGTGTAGCAACCCCCGGTTTAAGGCGATCGCCAAGCCGTCCCTCCCCTCCTGTCAGGGGAAGCTCAAGGCAGCGGCAGGCAAGCCGGGGGCAGTCCGTCATCGAGAGCTCGGGCCGGGCATTCAGGTGCAAGTCTTGGCAGCTGGGTCCGCTTCATTCTAAATGGCTTGGCAGCCCAGATGCTTTGACTGGGGCCCCCTGCTGCGGACGGTGCCTGTCAAGAACTGAAGATCGGAACAACGGGGGTTTTGCTTTTCTGGAATCCCCCAAAATAGCTGGGGGGATCAACCGGAGATCAGGCCAAGTTGCAATGACTTGCATTTATCGAGCCTCACAATGGATATGGTGAGATGGTGTTGTTATTCGACGATAACACTGGCTGTCAAATTGGCTACCGTTGTCCACAGATGGCCATCCTTTATACGTCTACGAAGAGTCGAAAGGCTGTTGGAAGCTGCCTGTTTGTAAACAAAGAAGAAGATATCGCACGTGCCACGTCTCCAACGGTCCATCAGTTTGGGGATGGGGGTGGTCAGGCACTGGCTGAGTGAACTTGATGATCGATCAAGATCCCACAATGGATAAACCAAAGACAGCAACGTCTACTTAAATTCTTCGCCCAAAAGCCCAACACGAGCCACATGGCTTGAGTTTCACGATGAGTTGTGCCCAAAGTCAGGGCTGCCGAGTACCGAACGTTTCAAGAGGTCGCATTCAGTGTGCACTCCACTAACACAATACGACAGCCCAAGCAGTGATCGCTACGTATCTAGGTAGCCAGCACTAACGTTGTAAGCGTGTCCGTAGCAGACGTCACCGTGCACGCGACCCTTCTTCCTCCACCCTGCCTAGGCCCTACGTAGCTCTGGCCATCTCCAGCTGTCCATGGCGGGCAGAGTGTCGACGTCTCCGTTGTCCACGATCTACGATTTGTCCACAACATCCATCTTGATGACGGTGGCTCTGGGACGCTGCTACGAACAGGCCACCGAGGCCATATCCAAACCTTGATATCTTCCATTCTCAGCCTTCTTTTTCTCCTATTGACTTTCACCATCTTTTGCCCTTCGCCATCCCTGGCCAATCTTCATTCGGGGAGCTACCCGTAATTAACTGCAGCGAGCTCTTCCTCCATCAAAGAACCCTACTGGGTAGCGATCCTCTCTGCGACAGATCCGAGCCCTTCTTTATCTTGACCACCCCTCGTCCCCTTCTTGGAAATACACGATATCCCCGCGACAACAGACGGCGACCTGATTAGTCCGCCAAAGCATTATACCTCAGCAAGCCATCAACATGGTTTCCCTATGGCCATGGAAGGTATGCCGCCCGACTCACCCAGCCTGCAAGAGGGGTAAAGGTTCATGCCCAGAGCCCAGCTGACACCAAGGTCAATAGAAGGAGGACTCCTCTCCAGCTTCGTTCGAAAAGGCACTTTCGGCCCTCTCAGGAAGGATCACAGTCACGCAGACCAGACTCGATAATGTCCGATCGACCGCGCGACGAGTAAAGGGCCTTGCGACCCTTTATCTCGGTTTCGCCTACCTCGTCTACGCCATCGTTGCGCTTCTCGTCATCGGATGGAAAAACATGGGTCCACAGGAATGGACAGGAATGGCCGGCGGCCCCGTGATCATCTACCTCGTTCGCACTTTATCGACCATGTTCTTCGACTACCGGATCAACGGCCTCAATGCGAAACTTGAGTACCTCCAGACCGAACGAGCCAAGACCATTCAGAAACTCAAGGACGCGACCCGGTACGACTCCACCCTCGAACTGCTCGAGAAGTACGGCGGACCGGAGAACAAGATCAGGAGGCGTGCCAGTAAGAAGGGTGGCGACGATGACAACGACGAGGATGGCGCCCAAAGGTCCAAGAAATCTCAGGGCAGACACGCAAACCGCATCCACATCGCGCCGCCTCCCACTGCCAACATCCAGCGCCCCGGCGCCGTCGGTCCCAACATGCCGCAACCCGGTGCTCCTCCCCGTGGCCAACAATTAGCTCCCTCGCCTATGCCTCCTCACGGCCCGGAGCTGTCCGCCGAGTTCGCCCCGAACGCTTTTGAAACCAACCCTCGCGCGTCCCCCGCTCCACCGCACGCCCAATACCCACTCGCCGCGGCCGCCATGGCGGCGCCCACGGAATCACACTGGTACGACCGCATTCTCGACACGCTCATCGGCGAGGACGAGACCGCGGCCAAGAACAGGATTGTCCTCATCTGCAAGAAGTGCCGGCTGGTCAACGGACAGGCCCCTCCCGGGACGAAGAGCCTGTCTGAGATTGGCAAGTGGAAGTGTATGTCCTGCGGGGCTGTCAACGGCGAGATGGACGAGGGAAAGAGGATCGTGAGGGAAGTGATTGGTGGAGGTAGAAGTGAAGAATCTCTTGTCCACTCTCAGTCCGGTGACGATGCGACTAGCTTGGGCAGTTTCGGGGAGGAGTTTGCTGATGAGGAGTTGGTGGATCGTAGCGAGGCTGCGGAGAGCGACAAGGTGCAGGAGCGTCCGGAAAAGAGGCTCAAGACGGAGGGCAGCAAGTGAAAGGTTACCTATCGTGTAGGAGGACTGCGCGCTGCACACTTTTCTTTTGTGTCATTTTGGTTTCCGTTCATCCATCGCTGGGCGGTATGATTGGGTTGTAAGCTGTTTTTTTAGCAGGTGTTGCGTTGATACCGCGCTATCTGGTATTCGTTCCGTAAAAGCATCTGGGGCTGGAGTCTAACGGAGAATCGAAACTGCTTTACAATTGGCATGGGTTTGGGGCTTGCCTTTCTGCCCTTTCTCGTTCATAAACTCTATTCTTTGGACCAAAAGAAAATCGGTGCCTTTGAATGTCCGAAGCCCAAGTGACGTCTTTGCCTTTGTCTGCACAATATCTACAAGTTTAACACCGCGAATAGAATGGAAGCTACTCGCTACCTACTGGTAGTTTGTGAATAGTTCTGACGCGAGACTTGTCACATATGAATTGGTGTGACCAGAGATATTTTGGTTAAAATGGGTTTCTTTGATATGCAGCCACATGCAGCCTGCGCTTTGCACACTTGTTGTCACTGGGGAATTTCATGAGGATTCTGGTTGTTAACTCGTCTATCCCAGCCCATTCCTTAGATTAGATTGTTTCCATATGGATTGAAAAGATACTCACCTGTCACCTGAGACACAAAAAACACGAGGAGGGTTGGTTTTCACAAAGCCTAATTACTTAACTATTTAAAAGTCCACACTCTCGCAACCTACTTGTTGATGATCCAGCACATTGATCTTTTTAATCTGCACAAGTATCGTCGGCAAAGTGACACGACACTTTTTCTCAACCTAACCTCTTTTCGACCTCTCTTCAACCTCTCTTCAACTTCTCTTCAACTTCTTATCAACTTCTCTTCAACCTCTCTTCAACTTCATACCAAGTCTCTCACCCACCATCTCACCTCCATGCAGACAGCCCACGTCAACAACCCACACCGCAACCATGACACCCTTTCCCCAAGACGTCACAAACCCTTACTCACTCTCAACCTTCACCCTCCCCTTACGTCCCCGCCCCAATGGGGGTAGTTCCAGTAGTGGTGGCTGTAGTGGGGGTGGACATTATCACACTATCATCCAACAATTCTCCCGGCTTACAATCGGCGAGTACCAAACTCCACACAAGGAGACCGCCATGTGGAAAGCCGCCATCAAGAGCAGCAAGTTGTCCAAACTACCACAACGACCACAACGACCACATCGAGAACGACAGCCACGGGACCCAGACACGGGAACATGGACAAGGACAGGGACAGGGACATACTTCTTAACCCTGTTTCTGCTTCTGCCGTCATGGGCCCGCGATCCCCTATTCACAACTGCAGTTCCAGTTCCTGTTCGGACTTTTCCACTGTGGCGTCCAAGACGGCGACGAGGGCGGGGGCAAGCCGTCATTCGAAGCCTGCGTCATCGATTAGTATATCGGAGGTATCCTCTGAGTCGGGGGGGACTGGAGGAGGAGCTTCTCCGAATCTGAAGAAATATTTGAGAACGAGAAGGGGCGCAATTTCGGGGCCTAGTTGCCCTGGTCCCGCTCCCGGTCCTGGTCCTCTAAGTTTGGCTTTGACTTCGGCAAGTCCGGCTCCGTGTTCAAGATCATCGTGGCGTTCGAGTAGTTCTAGACCTAGTCGTTCCAGAGCGTATGGTGGGGAGCGGCTGTTGTTGCCTGCGCCTTCGATGGGTTCGGGTTCTTTTGCTTCCGGTTCCGACTCTGGTCTCGGTTCTGAGATGAGTGGTGGTACTACCGGTAGCAGAGCTGGTGGCAGAACTGGTAGCACTACTGGAGCTACTACTAACCGGTTGAACCAAGCTCGACTTTTCCCTTTCTCTCCCAGGGGTTGGCCAGACCACAACCGTAATGGCTCCCAAATCATCACTGATCCCGCTGGATTTCCCGACTCATCATCAGTTGTCTCCAATGAAAGCAGCAGCAGTATAAACACCGTGCGTCTGTTGGACTTGCACACCTCGCCGCCGCCGCCGCCGTCGGCATCCTTACGAATCAGTGCTAGTAGGCTATCGCATAACCCTCGAATTAGGACCGGAGAGATCACGCCGGGGGATTCTATCTCCCAGATTGGATCATCTGCCTCAGCCTCTGCCTCCGCCTCATCCTCAACATTACGGAGAAATGGAGGACAACGATCGTCGCTAAGCCTTCCGATCCGGAGCTTACCTCTACGGGGTGTCCGGCACGTTTCTGCTTCTGAGATTGAATTATCGCCGCGTATTCGTCTAGAAGAAGAGGACCGCTGGATTTTACCATCGAGTCCACCTGGGAGGTTTGGGCCTCCGCCGCTTTCTGCATTTGGATCTGGGTCGTCGAGGGATTCCTCCCCGAGGGATTATCGCAAAGTCGTTGTAGGAAGTAGCAAGTGTTCGTCTACCTAGGGTAGTGGGTGCAGGGTCCCTGGCGGGGAGTGATGTAAGTTGTACATAGTCAGGGAAAGGGTTCAAGGCATTTTGGGGATCAACGATCACATAGCTTGTAGCTGTCAACTGTGTCGAATTCGAGACTCTTGCGGCTGATCCGTAATGTTTCTTGACCTTGGTAGGACGACAATAATCAAAGATAGTACTTGGAAATCATGCAAACTCGTGAGTATGGCACTCTCTGCGGATATGGTCAGGTGAATAAGCGGAGGACAGGCATTCTTTCGTGAGCTGAGGCTTATCGTCACATCCATGGTTGATGGTGAGAGGAGAGGACTTTGGCTGACGTTGGCAAATGGTGCGCTGGGTACTATCAAGCACTAACGTAGATAGCGGTTTGTGCCACACTATTTGAGTTAAGATCCGATATACCCTGTTTGGAAAGATGCAGCTGCATGAAGCCCCCCCACACTAAACTCTTTTCCAAACATGATGCGACTGTGCGAGACGCCGAGAGGTTATCATCACGTTGGTTGATGAGCCTCCTCTCTTGGACGGAACGAGTTAGCCAAGGTGGTAAGAGGGGTTCCTGAAAGCGGGGAGTGATGATGCCGCATGACCTTTGGGTCATTCCTTTTAAATTCTTCACTGTTAATAAGTCTCGAGAATCGCGGCAATCGCCCCCTCGCTCGATTTGTCGGATGATGACCCCAATCCAACAACCGATTCGACAATATTCGAGGCCGCGAAGGAATCGCTGTTTCGCTCTGGACGCTTGATCAACATCATCGACCCTGGATCAGCACATGCACTGTACCGCGACTCCGCATGCCGTGTTGTTTCCTTTGCAGCTCTGCTTTTCGATACAGACTGGCCCTATTTTTTCAAAGGTTATCTTTGGGCTTCAGAGAGAACGAAGAAGAAAAGGGCCCGATCCGATCCACGTAGAAACAGGTCCCACGCACGGCACCTCCGAACAGGTACTTGCAGTTAAGAAGGAGGGAGGGGGCTTTGTTTACATTGGACATTGGTTGGAGGAGGGGGCACAGAGGGGTCGATCTGGCTCGCTTCATTGCATGTTGGAGCTGGAAAGCGGGAGTAGCTGACCTGTCGCAAGCTGCCGCTCTGTCATTACCTGAAACCAGAAACTTTGACCACTTTGTGAGGGCCTCACTGGGCCTGTATCGTTTCACCACGTCAGCCAGTCCCACGGTTCTGCAAAATCTCCCATCCCGATTCCTTCCCAACTGCGACTTGAACGGTACCGCGGTACTTCCCCTTGTTACCTAAGCTTGCATGCCGAAGGAAAACGCGAATCAGAAGCGTCCCCTCCATTCCTTCCCACCAACATGGAGCAGGTCCCCGTCCTGAATGGCACCTGCCATCTGCATTCCCAATTCGATATCATCACAAGGAAGGAGCAGCAGTGGACAGTACCCAAAGCTGGAAGCTACCCCTGCCTCTCCTTGACTTCCATCTTTTGCCTCAAGCTCCCCAAGCTTCCTCCCTCTTTCTTCTTCAAGTGCCTTCATCCAAATTGTCCTCCTTCTCGTCACCATCGGCACTCACTCATGCAACACAACCTCGCTACTTCTTGCCTGAGTCTCCTTCTCTTCCTCCAACACTCTCTTCAAGTTGTAAGGCTTCCTTGCTAGTAGTCTACTTCCAGTCTCCAGCGGTGTTACTGTTTCCATTGTCGTACGGCAACTACCCATCGATCCAAATCCCTTGTTTCTGCTCCTCCCCTTCTTCGCTAGACTTTCTTCACTTTGAGCCGTCAGCTACTTGGCGCCATGATGTCTACAGCTGTCTGACTGATTGCCATTCAGGCGTCGACAGCACTGGCGACTTAACGTCCTCTCGAAATCTTCTTCGTTACCTCGGGTATGTCTACCACAGCTCTAGCGTTTATATAAATATATATATATATATTTATATCCCGAACATTCAGCTCACTCGTCATTAGTAGCCCTAACCACACAGGAAGGTCAACATGGACAGATACGCAGAGACCACCGTCACTACTGAGTACGACTCTGTGGATAGCGATGTCAGCTATCTCACCAATGACCTTGAGTACCATGCGCATGATCGTCTTGGTAGCCATAGGAGACGTCCGGATGTAGCGAGAAGTGGAAGAAAAGCTTTCAAGGAGCCAAGTCCCCACAGAAGGAGGTCACCAAGGAGTAAGCTTCGTGGCAGAATGCATTGTGGCTGCGGTGCTGAAGCCGTGGTGGAACTGTCTGTCGACGACACTCTGGATTCTGAAAACGATTACGGCATGAGGTTTAACCACGAGGACAAACACTCACGCTCTTATGCATGTCATCACACGCGACAGGCCTCCATGACCACGGAAAGGCCCAGAAGATCAAGATCAAGAGAGGCGGAACCCCAAGTCAACAAAAAGGGTAGAGCCCCCAAGCGGACGGTGGATCCATACATCGAAGAGTACCCGGATGAGCCAAGCCAACCAGTGACACCTGTACGGGATTACAAGGCCCGCGATCGACGGTTCTCGACAACTGACTCCAAGAGGTCTTCTCGCGACATGGAAAAGCCATCATCAACAATTTCTGCTCGTTCACGGGCTAGAACCATCACCGACTCAACGAGGTTGTCACGAGAGATGGAAGATCCTGTGGTACCTGTTTCAACTAGTCACCATCGTGGCCCTTCAATCTCCGAAATAAGAAGACTTACCCGGGATATGGAAGGACGCCCGCGTTCCAATTCGAGGCATCCTCAGCGCGGGACCTCAAGATCGGACACTAGGAGAATATCACGGGAACTGGAGGACCGTGGCGGCTCAACCGTGTCTAGTCGCTCCCGAGGCGGCTCTCTAATCTCTGATACAACGAGGTTCTCTCGAGATATCGAAGATCGTGTGTCATCTGTCTCGAGTCGTTACCAAACTGGTACCCCCGTTACCGAGAAGCGCCGACCAGAAGGCGGTTCATCCGTGTCGTCCAGACGTTCGAGACAAACTGCGATGTCAACTGCCATGCCTCAGGATCATCCGAGAAGGTATTCTGAGCTTGCTGAGCCACGCCGCTTTGTTGGTAAGCCGGAATAGTTGAATAAGTCGGTGTCTGTTTTTTTCAGCCGGGCTAACCGACTCATGAATGTAGATCATCTTTCGGATTCTGAGCAGGAAAGCACAATGTCGAAGCGTACTGAATCCACTATAGGCCGCTCGCGATACGAATCGTCAGCGAGAGATGTACCCAAAAGTATGGCTCGAAGGGGCTCAACGAGAGGTGGGCAGCGACCCTCACTCCAATACTCGTCAACCTGGCCCATGCGCGCACCAGCACTTCACCCAGATGGCGACCAGTCCTCTCATGGACGTAACTACGACAGCACGGAAGATAGCGACTATGACTTTATCAACGACCCACGATTTGATCCCGTCACCCACCGGATCATTCGACCAAGCCCTCCACGTGCGCCTTCACCACCTCGCGCCCCTACCCCTCCTAATCTAAGCTCTGACGTTGAGCCCGAGGTTGATGAGTACCCAAGATCACGGAAGTCTCGGGAGCCTAAGGAGTCCAGAGGCCCAAGGGTGAAGACAGTCCTCAGCAAGGCCAGCCTCAACGCCTTGAACAATGAAGCTCGAACGTCCACTGCTACTGATCTCTGTGAAGTATGGAGAGCTCGTCCGGAGGACTGGGAGTCTCCTTATTCTTCCCTCCACCTTGGAAGTGCGGGTGATGTGAAACCAGAATCTAACAACGAGCCGATGATGATGTTGGAACTCGAAAATGTCGAAGGTGAAAAGCCTAGTATGGCGCTTGAACTTGCTTCCAAATTTCCTCTAGCGAAAGAGGCTGAAACTGCCGGACGCGAGCCCGACTATTCGCGTGGCTCATCTCCCGTGTACGGCAGCCAGGAACCGCGGCCCATGGCAGATACCATCAACGCAGATCTGATGGCTTTGAATTTATCTCCTACTACGCCTACGCATTCTGGTCCACCTTCCAGACCGCCATCGAGGTGGAGCACCACAGGAGCTTACGAGTTCCCGTTGACTCCACCTTCGAGAAGCATGTCGCCATTGTTCCACACTTGGAGGAACAGGGATCGGTTGCCTTCCAAGCTCGACGAGAATGTGACATCTGATTATGAGGGTTGGGGCAACAGTGGGGAGCCGAGGAGTATGTTGACTGCAGATTATCAAAGCAGTGTAGTCAGTGGGTGGTAGAAGGTTTTGACGCATATATCGGCGCGTCGGCGAGACTACGATCGGATCATGAGTGAGCGTTTCCTAGGAGTTTCATCTGCATTTGGATATCTATTGCTGGTCCAATTTGAAATGTCAAACAGTCGTTGATGGACGTTCGGTTGCAAGGGCACCGTACGTTCCCTGATCTGCATTTCGGTTTTTAAGTCTGTTACTCATCGATGAGACTGAATGTTCTTGGTTTGTCATCACTCAGTATGCTGTTTAACTTTTCGATTGAGCGTGTTTACAGAGAAAGTATTTGCGAGATGATATTATATAACGACATTCCCTCTTTCTGTTATCTTTTCTTTTCCTTTTTCCCCCCTAGTCACCCCCTCTCTCTTCCTTTGGTCTTTCGAGTTCTTTGACTTGCTCTTTTCACATCTCTGTGGCCCCTGTGACATGTATCTTGTTCAGGGACTGGATGTCTGCCAAGTTCCACGGGGAAAGGTCGGATTGGTAGTGAATTATCGCTCCATCGTCGTTCAGTTGCTCTGACACAACTCGCATGCGACGTCTTGCTTCACAATGCCGATCTCATAATCAGACAGCGCTGTTAGTGGGCGAACATAGGAAAGCTCCTGTTCGTCAAAACTTACTCCCGAATAGCGCGATTACGAGACCAGGACAACAGCTCAACCAGCACCTTCTTTGAATCCGAACTTCGGCCGTGATTCGACGTCGAAGGTCCCAGGATGCACCAAATACTGGTTTCCCAGAAGCTACAGTATCTCATCAACCCCTTCCTTTCGCCCTTCTTTCCTCGAAATGTCTCACATCGTCTTATTTCAAGCCCTTCCACGGCAGCTCTTCTTCTCTCGCCCACCCGGTGTCGAGCAGGTTTTCTGCCGCTTCAACCGAACCCTCTTAAATGTGCTTTCAGGTGGAGATTTGCTAACGTTGTAGTAAGCATAACTCTCCGCTTCTTCCCTGGCTTCCTCATCCATAGCCGCCCGACTTTCACCAGAGTCTTCCCTCGAAAGCCTTGGACCAGAAAAAAAATGGCGGAACACCCAG